TGGTGTTTTTGGAGCAGATAGAGAGGTCCTAATCTTCTCTACCCACAGGAACTTGCAACCGCAAGGGTCGATCCACACGTGCGTGTTCCTACACCCTAAATCCTAAACTCTCAGCCCACCCCTGTTTTGGATAACCCTGAATGCGTTCCTGAGCGACTTTCAGCATCCCTTTTGCACCAGGGTTGAATTGCATTCTTAAGTTTCAGGCTTCACGAAAACCAGTGCGCGATCAGGTGTTTTGAAAACCATCTCAGCCTTCAGGAGGTTCCTTTTTTCCCTGGAGAGGGATCCCCCTAATTGCGCACACCACCCTCACAATTGAAACCTCCCTGCCCCTGATAGCACATATTCCTTTAGTTTGTTTGCAATACGACATTGGGAGCATGTTCAGGTGGCAGGCTCCAGGGGAAAGTGGACAAGCCCCATGCGGAGTTTGCCAAGAATACCACGTATTGTGGGCATTGACACGTTCCTGAGGCCAGATTCAGCCTGCATGATGTAGGCTTTTGGAAAAACAGAGCAGGATGTCCAACAACGACCCCGTCATGCCCCGCAGACTAGGTGGGCTCCCATATCAAAGGAGTCTCTTTCAGGGGGGTTCTTCGACAAGCTATCCATACACAGAAAAGAATACTCGACCGTTTCCCTAGACATTGCCATCCCTTCACGGGTCCCTGTTACAACCCCATGGGTGTAGATATCAATCCAGTCCCTGAACATTGAAGCCAAAACTGACTCTCCCCACCAAAGGATCTTTCCACAACACGCGATCTTTTTTTGTAGTGCGGCAATCCTTTGCGCATTAGTCAGAAGCCTCTTCGGTGGTGCGAGCAGTGATGGATGATTTTACTGCTTGGCAGGATTCATCTTTTATCCTCTTTTCGTGAAGTGATTTTGGTGGCGCCAAGTCGGATTGAGGATTTTCCGGTGAAACTCTGTAGTCGGGAGTATAGTGTCCTTATGTCCTCCTGGCAGGAATTCCTCAAAACGACCTCTATCCCATCATATCCTGAAACTTTTGAGTACCTGTGCTTTGAAACCCTGCATGTGGCACGGTAAACTCACAATCTAGGGTTCTATGTTTGCATACGCCAACACCAAAGCCTACACCCATCACAAAAAATCAACACGGAAAACCACTCGTCTGCGGCTAGCCACCGTATGCCGGCTTGCAGTCGGACTTTGGGCACACTGTGTTGGGTTTTGAGTTTAGGGTTCAGGGTTGAATGCTCTGCGTCTCCGGTCATCCAAAGCTGCAGGTTTGGGCAACGTGTTTCCCTGGGTTTTGACCAGCATCTTTAGAAAGCTCCATGGTAGTCTTTGTGTGGCCCCTCTTGCGTGTGTCTTGGCCTGATGAAGCGCACTGCGACTGGCACTCTTGCCATGGCATCGCTCACAGCACCGAAAAGGACTTTTTTTCTGGCCAGCGTCTGCAATGAAGGTTTAAAAGTTGGCGGCGGTCTAGAGGTTCCCCAAGAGGGCTCAGGTGTTGCGATTTGTTTAGTGTGTAAGATGTGGGCTCTAGGTTTCTGAGGTTGGGCATTTGGAGCTGCGGGTGGGAGGAGTACGACGAAAGTCCTTTGGGGTGCCGGGCTTGGATTATGAAACCACTCCCTTGCAATCCAACCCTCAATAGGGCCGAGCTACATCACCCATTAAAAATTACCTGGTTCTTGATTAGGGTGCAGCGGCATGAGGGACCCAAAGTTCTGGCAGCTTATGCTCGGAGATGATGACATCAGGCGCTCCTCAGAAGTGGTAAAATCTTCAAAAAATCTGAAAATCGTCTCCCAGAATTCACCCTATGGCAGACTGATCCTTCTTTCTGTTCGTGGCATTACGGTGAAGGCTTCTGAGGTGCCAGGTTTGCAGACAACATGAAGACAGTCTCTAACAGGACTTCAGACACGCATTTCAAAAACGCCAAGCACAGGAAACTGGATTTATGGCTTCAGACAGAGGGTTTTCTACAATGTTTAGGACTTAGGGCCTTCACGCTCGTAGCACCTCGAAAGTAACCCTCAATCACTAGAAGCCCCTGAATCCTACAACCCTAGATGCTTCAGGCTTTAGGGTGTGGGGTTTCAACTCTAATGGGTTGCAGGTTTAGTCACTGCTGGATCAGGGCCTCAGGGTGGGAAAGGTGCAGGGGCCTCATTTTTATGACTGCCGCCTTATTCAGCGGAAGTCTCGCTGCCACAAAGAATGGACAGAACGAGCTTTGCCATTTCTGAAAATCAATGCATGGCTTCGCAGAGGGTAGCCCTTGAAAAGCCAGAAACCATGGCACCCACCACCAGGTCATCATAGACGTTCTATCGCTGGTAACACCACCACAGCCGAGTTCTCGAGCTTTGGGGAGGCATAGAGGGCTAGCCCGTGACGTGTTTGCAGTGTTCTTGCTTTGGGCTTTATGCAGTGGTTTGGACTTGAGGCTTTCAGGTTGTTCATTCGCCGGCTCCAAGGATTTTTAGGATCAAGGCTTGGAGCTTCGTGTTAGAGGTTGCTGGGTGGTTTGGAATGTTAAGTCATAAGCCCTGGAACCCAACGCTTTGTTGCTCTTATTCATGCAGACCGTTTAAGCTAGTATGCCCGGTTTAAGGTTGAGAGCTTCGGAACCTCCACTGTAAGTTAACTTTTCTTATCCAACATTGGCCGGCTCGAGTTGGATCAGATATGGTTATTCCAAAGCCTGGCATGAATCCTTTAGGGACCTTTGCATGTAAACTGCCGTTTGGGGAGAGGTCGGGTGAGACCATTATACTTGGCCTTGCCGATAACTTGATAACCCATAGCCCATAACCCATAATTGCCATAATTGTCTTCTTCTTCTGACGTGTTGTTCTTTCCTCTTGTGCGGCATCGACTTGAGTTTGCCCACTTGAAATCCTGAGCCATCAGTGAGTAAGCCTTAGGACACATCCTTAGCCTATTCCCTAAAACTCTCTTATGACTACCCTGTGGGTCTGCGAACGCCCACAACCAAGGGCAGGCCCCGCTCATTGCAATGCTGCTTTGCAGCTTTAGCAAACTCGACCGAGGAAGCGCCTGACTGGCTGCTTCTTGGGATGGGTTTTGGGTTTTGGGTTTAGGGCTGGGTAGTTCACGGGGATTTAGGGGTTCAGGGTTTTGAGGGTCCAGCATTGGAGTTCAGGAGTTGGGTTGGGTGGGCATTGAATTGGAGAAGTGCTTTGGAGAGCCTGGGCTCCCACAATGAAGCCACCAACAGGGGGCCCAACATACCCCAATATACTATGATCCTTTCTCCAGGGACTCCTGAAGAAGATCCCCTGAATTTTTGGAACCCCATATTCAGGTCCCTCAATATTTCCACTGTGAAACCCAAGTCACCGATGCATTCATATCATGGGTTGGGACCTACCGTACATGAAATACAGCGGTATACCCTTCCCTGAACAACATGGAACCCTGTGAAGACGAGAGGGTTGGAGGCGTTTACTGGGCAGAACCTGCTTTAGGAAGGGCAGACAAACTGGGCCACATACAGTGTAAATAGCAAGGGTGACTGCGAAATAGAGGAGAGCAGCGTCACCAGCCACAAGGCTGATTGGAATATCAGTAGAGATGCGAGCCTTTTGATTTCAGGGCTTTGCCCCGTGGCCCTTTTGAGCACAGGGTTTGGGGTCTCCTCTGTTGTGGCTTCGGGGGCCTAGTAGGCAGGCCCTGACAAAAGCTGCTATAGCGAGCAAAGCTTTCAACACATGTTGCGTAGAACCTATGCTAGGGTAGAACCTCTATAGCTGTTTTGAGTGCATTTGCTTAGGGCCTGTTCTAACCCATCCCCATGCATGATTCAAGTGCAGTATCCTATGACTGCAAGACCTGGATCCTAATCCACCAAACCTTGAGCCATAAACTCCCAAAACTTTTACCTCTGACACGCTAGTGCCTCCAACGGCTAAATCAAACCCAGGTTTGGAGATTGCATACATGCCTGGGGCTCAAGCCAAAATATTTCATCACCCTGTCCCAAGATCAAGATCCAAGTTAGGCAAAAGTCCAGGAGCCTAAAATCCTGAAGAGCTCTTTTGATAGGGGAAAGCGACTTGTAAAAGGGGCCATCTCACAATGAACTAGAACTGGGTTCTCAGGTCATTAGGGGGGTATAGTAAGGAATCCGCAAGAATCAGGGATCCCCTTGACTTCCCGGGTTTGCATTGTTTTCGTATAGTTTTTTAGGCGAATGTATATATAATGTAAATGAAAGTTTTAAATGATATTATCGCGGTTATAAGTATGTTTAACATGCTTTTGATGAGGCTTCATTCAATTGATCAAATTAGATTTCAACTGGTTGAAATTAGATTGTGATGGTTTTAGTTGGGTTTTACTGGAAACATTGGATAAATTCAAATTGATTTGAATTAGCGTTTTAAAGTTAGATTTCAATGTATCTTAATTAGGTCTTGCATCCATTCAGGGGCTTCTCAAAAGAGGGTAGCAACTGCGAACCTCGGGAAAGGATGATAATAAGAATACAGAGGAGATGCTGGAGAAACTCCCACATGACAAAGGCACAAAGAGGTTGGCTTCTGAGCCAGGCTTAGGTTTGAGAGCTTTGCAATGCAGGGTCCAAGGATTTAGGGTGCAAGGTCTAGGTCTAGGCTTAGGATGGAGGTTTCATTTGGTCTTTGTAGATGGTCAGGGGAAATTGTACATGTAGAGCTTTATGGGGATTCCCTGTGAAGGTAATAACAAAAAACGAGGAAGCGAAAAAAGGTGCCCTCAAACCATGACTGTCAAGGGTCTCTGGTGATTCAAGAAGAAAGTTTCCACAGGCCCGCATTCCATGCCAGTAGACCGCAAGGGTCTCAACCAGGGTGGCAAAGACATCATCAAGGGTAAAGATATCAGCAAGGGCAATATGATCAAGTCCAGCGGCAGGAAATTAAGCAAGTCCCAAACCAAACTGCCAAATCCTCAACCCGACCCTACATAATCCCTTCAGACTTCCCGTCTGACCCTGGATCTGGCGGTCCTTAAATGTCCACGTACTTCCAGTCCCAATCACCAGGCGCAGCCTCGCGATGTATGGCTTCAACCCTTAGCCCCATACACCCAAAAGCATTAACTCCCTGGGCGAGACCCTAGACGCACCCAAACTTCTGAACCCTGAACCCTAAAGAAAAACCGCGAAACCCGAGGGATTGGAGCTCAGCTGTGTGGTACACTGCGAACAAAAAAAAACCATGAGCCCAGACAGGGCCAGCAAAAGTGAAATGGGCAGACGAAGTGGAAACGAAGGAACGAATAACATGCTTGCTACTAAAAGCCTACGGACTAAACAGTCAACTTGTCAAGGTATGCGCAGCCGCTGCTTCAAAATGACTGTGTGGTTATACGGATTTATACGGATTTACGCATTGGAGTTTCGGGTAAGCCTTTGCGAAGGCTTCATGGAGCCTGCCCCGGTGAAGAGAAAGGAGTTTATAGGCTTTGTGGGGGGCTCGGCTTGGGGTTCCGGGGATGGGGAGTGACTTTCTTTATTTTTTTTGGGGGGGGGGTGGATGGAAAACAATGGATTTAACAGACACCTCTAGTCTGCGCACTTGAGGCCGGAGACTGGCGGCTGAAGTCAAGAACTATACTAATCGATTTTGAAGCGTAGATGCTTGCCTCAGGGGCTCAGAGCTAGGAAAAGAATGCGGGGGTTCTCCAGACCCTGGGATCCTTGGGATGAGCGACATGTGGGTGAAGGGTTTCAGCAGATTTCGGAAAATCCCACATGATTTGGCATCCTAAGCGTTGTAGAATTACCCCTCATAACGAGCAGGGAATCGGCTATCGTTATAGGCGTGTGGTCCAATGATTCATGCGGATGATTTTGCATGATTTCCCTTTCGCCTAGATACCCTGCTGCCCACTGCGCATATTAATACGTTCAAAGCTTACGGCTAATTGGGAGTTCATGAAGTAAGGACTCTTATATTTGGGTGCATGTGGTGCGATCAACTTAAGAGAATTCCAGAACCTGAAATACAGCCACTTGGAACATTTGTAGACAAATCATCATTTGCGTTGAGGCCGGGTGAGGTTGTTTGAACCCGCCCTTTGCATGAGGGGACCCCTGTTTACGAACCCTGCAACCAGGCCTGATCGTCACCATCACCTGGTTCTCCTTGATTATCATCGTCCCGACCTCCGTTGCCCCTATTGTCTCCGCGGTTGTCTCCTCGGTTGTCGCCACGGTTGTCGCCACGGTTGTCGCCGCGGTTGTCGCCGCGGTTGTCTCCACGATTGTCTCCGCGGTTATCTCCTCGGTTGTCGCCGCGATTGTCTCGGTGGTCATCTGCCCAGCTAGGGCGGCGACCATCACCCCGGCTTCCTCCATGGCCATGACGATCATCGTCAGCCCAGCTAGGACGGCGACCGTCATCCCGACTTCCTCCACGGCTTCCACGGCGATCGTCGTCGGCCCAGCTAGGGCGGCGACCATCATCGCGGCTTCCTCCACGGCGACCTCTGCGGCTCGAAGAACGGTCATCTCCACGGCGACCGTCATCATCACGGGCATATCTTCGCCCGGCTCGGGAGCGATCATCCCCATCATCGCGACCATATGGGCCTGTAATAACAGGAGCCTTGTCAGCATGGCGGTACCTCAGATGTCAATCATTAGCGAGCCACAGAGGACAACAACTATTGAATATTGATGAGAACCTGAAGTAGGACTTCAGCAACATGCAACCACAATTACGCCAGCGTCAAGAGCCTCATCAGCCGACGCCCAAGGACAACTAACGACAAAACACTGGAAATGTTTGGCTGTCTGTAGCAATGGTATTGGAGAGGGGCTGTATAGTTAGCATAATCACTCTGGGTAGCGTTTCTCAACTCAACAACCTGCTAGGATCATGCATAATCCGAACTCAGCCAGCACAACAGCAGAGTTCGACCCAAACAGCTGGCAGAGAATTTGTCTCTTCTATCGAACTAGGCTATTGATAAAGAATTGACGGGGTAGAATCGCTCCTTATTCAGGCTTCTCGCCTAAACTGCCCTAAATCTCCAACAGCAACTTTGCTAGCCTTCCCCAAACTAACATGGCTCCGAAAGGCAAAGTCGGCAGCGGGCCCTTTCTTGGCTCCATGCGTGCTTGGGGGACTAAAACAGGCTTCCGAAAGTCGAATTGCGCAGAGCCTAGCTCTTGAAAGGGCTGGCGCGCTAAATCTCTCCAGAACTTCCCTTCCGTCTCTAAAACCACTCCAGAACCCCGGAAGGCCTGCAGAATTACCAAACCTCAGCCTTGACCCAACACACCCCAAGGCCTCATTATTTCTACTATTTTTGGTATACCTACAAATATTGTAGTCGCAAAGTCTGTACCAAGATGCTCCCGACCGTCGAGTTCGTCAATGATTTGCTGGCTGACCATTCGCCCATCCATGATGTCGTCGGTGTTGGCACCGAAGGAGGGAGGGGGCCTGAGACTTTTGCTGGTGTATTCAGTGTTTGTAGAAATTGAATATTGAGGATTTTGCGGGACTGTAGATTGACGAGGGCTTGGGGCTTAGGGATTGGTGCTTGGGTTGGGGAAGTCAGGGTTCAGAGCTGCGGGTTTGGGATTTTGGGGTGTGGGAGGTTGGGATGTAGGACCCTAAACTCCAAAGAGCAGGGGCGTAAGGAGTTTGGGTAAGCGTAGGTATTGAGGGTGCAGGAGAAGAGGGGTTTTAAGCCTGGAGGTTTCGGGCTTGGGAAACATGAGGTTCAGAGGTCGTTGGCTTTAGGGGTGTGTGGTTCAGCGCTTGGAAGCGGTGGCTAGCTGCGGCTGGCATCATTGACACACTTGTTCCTGGTGTGCGACATCATTCTGAATGTTGTATCATTCTTGAACTCCTAAGCCCTGAACCCTGTCATCATTGTAGTTGTTGCACCTCTTCCGCAAGTCCATACGCAACGGTCGCAGCGAGAAGCTAGTCTAGGGTGTTGCTGAGAGGCTTACGTAATTCAAATGGCCAGAAGGTGGAAACCAGACTACTGATGCGGAAAATAGCTCTATATGTGTTCATGTTGTACGTACCCATCATTTAAGTTCTTGAAATGCTGCCCGGTGCATCCGTACTGTTATTCAAGCCACAGCCTTAGGGCCTAGAGTGGGTTCAGGGCTTGGGTCCATGATATTGCGTTCAAGCTGTCAGGTGCTCCCATTCTATTTTCCATGTGATTCTCTATTCTTGGAGCCTGATTCGCTATTAACCAACCCTATCTGTCTCTGCGCAACCCCTGCACATTTTAAGGCACCCCCTAAACCCTCAATCCCCTCAAACCCCTTGCGCCCGACACCTGCTCCTGCGATGCCCGATCTCGGCCAAGGCCATCGGCTGGGTGTCTTCATGGGCCTGTCAGGGGCTTCTGATATGGAGGTGCATTTCTGGCTTTTTTCTGGGGATTCGCGGTTACAGGGAAATTAGAGGATTGATACAAGTTTAAGCAGACAAGCCTATGATGAAGCATTGGCCTTGAATGACAATGTCAAGTAAACCTGACAGCATGAATTATTTCCCATCGCAATCACCGTCCCACAGATCGCATATTTTGACTCCAGCACATGCCCGCAAAACTAAAGTAATACACTTAATACACATATCATGTATCTGGTTCCTTCTACCTGTTAGTCCCTGACTCCCAAACCCAAAACGCAAAGCTCTCTAAGACCTGGTTCCTACGCGGCAAATGCAGAGCCTTTCGGTCGTGACGGGTCTCGTTCCACTTCCTCGGGCCGCTTCCGTGACCCCAGGCCTGGGTTGTTGTTTTTCTCAATGCTTTAGGGTATAGGTTTTGAAGTTAACCCCTTGGACTTTTGATAGGGTTCAGGGTGTCAAGTTTAGGGTTTAGATGTTTAAGGCTTTGTGGCTTAGAGCTCAGGAATCAGGGTAAGTTTCCGGCTTAAGGTTTAGGGCCTTGCGTTCAAAGGTTCTAGATTTCCTAGATTTAGGTGTTGAGGCCCGGGCTGCTTTGAGAGGACATTGGGGTTCGGGGTCTAGGGTTTAGGGGTTTAGGGCTTTAGGCTTTAGGGTTTAAGGGTTTGGGATTTTGTGTGCGAAAAAGGACTGAACAGAATGTAGACGTCTATCAGGGCGTGACCGGGCATACGGGGTCGGCGTCTTAGTGCTCTAGCCAAACTGTGCTTAGGAATTCCAAAATTGAGGGGCTCAGTGTTGAGTATCGGTTGCCCGATTTCGGCTTTCGAACTGGTCAAGGGATGGATGACTGGAGAGCTATTGAAGGGTTCCATGTACAGGATGATGTAAACATTTGCAATTGAAAGTTCATGTCAGGAGTGCAAGAGGATCGCCAAGGGATTACATGAGAAGTATCGGGTTATGTCACGTTATCCCTATTTAAGACCTAAGCCACAAGCTAAGATCTTAAACCCCCAAAGCTTGGAACTTTCTTAAACTATCCCATCACTAGGACCCGAAGCCCCTCAGAGATGTAGGCCACTCCACGGCATGGATAAGTCAATATTGGAGAAAGTTGGCCAAGCTTTGTCATCTCAAGAATTACCCTATACGTGCATCCATAGCGTGCCTGATTTGAGCCAGGGGAAAACTTTCTGGCACGAAGGTCGTCGAGCAGCTTGCAACCGACATTTCTGTCATTGCGGCTACTAGAAAGGCTGGCCGTTTATCTTGTTGTTTCTCTTGGCTGAAAATAAACGCCCCGATAGAATACCAACAGATATAAAGGGCAGCATGCGGTCGCGTAGAAATGATGGTTGTCGGGATGCTTCTTTTAGGTGCTATGCAGGATGCAACAATGGCCTATATACCTCTTTATTCCCTTGTCCACACATCGTGCACTCCCTACAAACCTTCTCGACTCCGTTTCAAATCATTTGCAATCCACGAGCCCACGAGACTACGCACTTCTCTTAATCCTGACATGCAGATGGTGTTTCCATAAATTGGAGGCCCTCCTTGTATACTCCAATACGCAAAGTACAAGACCGATGCGGCTAAGCTACACCTGAAATCCTAGAGCCAAAACCATAAACCCTGAACACTACACTCTTAACACTCTATCTGCAGCTCAAGGAACAAGGTCGGCTTTCACCTGTCAGCCACAGGATCTTCGTTCAGACTTCGGGACCAGGAGTATAGGGTCTAGGGTTTGGGGTTCAGGGCTTGGGGGTCATATGCAGATGTACGGCAAGTATAGGGCACATGGAACTATAGTGCGTCTTGAAGCAGAAAAAGTCTCAAAGTGTGCGCCCTCATCTTGGGACGCATGCAAAGCCGATGACAACATGATCTTGCCTTTAAGGTACAAAGTTTGAGGTTTTGTGTCGACCAAGGGGGGGCATCTTCAACCCCCCAGTCCCAGTGCAAACTTGAAGACTCTGAACTCAAATTCCGAAATCCTGGACCGAAACCCCATACCCTGCTCCCCAAACTAAACCCCAAACCCCTAGACCTGAACCGACAGCCGTGAAAGCAAATCCTTCTGAAGCAGCCTTGCAGTTTGCCAAGGAGTCAGGCGGTACGTTGAAGTATGCGCTCATAAGACCCTGAAACCTCAACCATAAACCCTCAAGCCCAAAACCTTGCTTGCCTAGTAGTCAACGGAAACCCAACGGAAAATCTCCCATCACCAGTCCAGAAGCTCAAACACGAAGCCCAAAAGTTTAGGGATCAGGGACCTGAAGTCCTACTTCACAGTTTTGATACCCTTCGTGCAGGTGCCTCCATGCTCTTCACCTCGAGAAGGGAAGTCCTTGGCAGTAGCGATTCAGGATCAAGCTTTACGGCTCAGGGCTTGAGCCTTATGGTTCAAGGCGTTCAGGGCTTTCCGGCTCGGGTGATCCCCAAAGTGCATGCTTCGGAGTCTAAGGTTTCAGGGGGCCTTGTAGCGGGACTCCTGCGAGCTCTCATGAGGCGCAGGTCGTGCCAAGATTCAGACGCTCTGGATTTAGACTGTTCTGAAATTGGACCCTTTTTCCTTTTAGAGAGCCTTCTTTTCAGTCTTCTTTTATCATACTCGCTTGAGCCCGAAATCCTAAGCCTTTAATCCCAAACCCCACGCCCTAAGTCCCATGCATAATACCTAAGCGCTCAACCCGTACACGCTTGGCGAACCCAGACTACAACCCCGCCTGATGAAACCTCTTCCAATGCTCCAAAGCACGACCCAAAAACCTGCACCGTAAACCCTAAATCCTAAACCCCAAGCCCCAGCCCCAGGTCCCATAAGTTCCCCAACAATACATCCCAGACGGCCCAAGCTGCGGGGCGCTTCGCTTCTTTCCGGGGCTGGCCGCTGGAGTCAGGAGGTCCTGAAGCGCAGGTATATATTGGGATTATATGGGGGCTATATAGGGATAATGGAAAAGAAAATGGAAACTACTAAAGTGGGGTGCCAGAGGGATATTGGAAAAGAATATGGAAACTACTATGCTGAGGTTATATAAGGTTTACGGTTTGGGTCTTTTGAAGTGTAAGTGCTGACTGTCTTGCGGTTCACAATCCCCGGGTCTTAAGGCTTAGGGTCCAGGGAATGTTCCTCAAGTTAGGGCCTTGACGGGTTGGGGATTCGGGTTTTGGGGTTTAGGGCTTCCCTCAACCCTAAACCCAAAGCCTGAGCGCCTATTTTTGGAGAGCTTTAGGAAGTTGAGGACAAGGTTGATGACTCAAGTCTTAAGGCTAGAGCAGAACCTTTTTTGCTGCTTTGGAAAAGAATGACAACAATGTTGATGCTACAGTCTAGGGCCGGATGGCTACTCACGGCAGGAACTACCGCAATCATTTCAACAGCAAGAAAAAACTTACCCTGCTACAGCTGAGCTTGCTTGAATGATGCAAACTTCTTTGCAGTAGTGCTAGATTGTTAGCAGTACCAAGAGCATGGCGGCAGTTTGCTGTTCGCTGTCCGTGCCCAATACAGAGCTTAGAGCACCATATCTTCACCCGACGTTAAGCCGTGTAAAGCCTAGACCCTTAGCCCTAGTGCTTGTGCAGCTCTGATGCTTCGTCGCTGCTCGCCCAGTGAAAATCTCAAGGACGGGAAGTCTAGTAGGCAGAAAGTGCTTGTTCCAAACTTCAGGGCCAGTACGCACCATTTGAAGCAGTGAGGACCACTCAGGGCTAGGGCCTAGAAGTCTTCCGTACAGTATTAGGCTTCGCTATGAAGGTTCCCTGACGTGCGAACATCTTCTCCATTCTCGCTCCTCATACCCATGTCCTTTGGCTGCTCTGCTGTGCCAGAACACGCTACCAGAACCGAAGTTCCAAGACGAATCCCTAACCTCTGATCAGAGCACTGAACCTTCAACCGTCAAACCCGAATCGCTTAACTCTAGCCCTCATCCCGAAATACGCAGACCACATCATAACAGCAGTGCTTTGGGCACTACATACCGCGCCCATCTCACGGGTACGAAGGAATGGTGTTTCAGAGCATTCATCATTGCCACAGCTTCCTCCGCAGTGGGGTCAGCGGCACCGATGGTTTCGGCCTCAGCAGAAAACCGATGTCCAACCCCAATCAATTTAGCGGCGAAAATCAAACTTTAGATTCTTTTTGTGACATGGCCTGTCAGGTGTTCTGGCCGCCCAGGCTTGGACAGCATTGTGGGCTGCTGTTAGATTCCTTGCTAGTGACCGCACCTGCAGTTGATGGCATGCGATCCCCTCCCCATGGCCCCTTTTGAGAGGACAGGAGTCCAGAAAGCGCTCCTTTGCAGATTCCAGGCCAGTTTAGGGGAGGGGGAATAATATCTAAACTCTCAACATTGAGAGTTTAAGCCAAGACCACCAAATCAGTGTCCTTAACGATGGAGCAATCAATGAGTGTGGTCAATGAATATACAAACAAATTCTTGAGCGGAAATATGCTCCTGCCCAACACGACGAACATGTCCCAGTACCAGTAGTTAACAATTTGAGCACCATATGTTAGATGCATATCGTAGACATGACTGATACGCAGATCTCAACCCCTGGGAAATCAAACCAACATCGAAATCCGGAATCCTACACCCTGAAACCCCAACCCCAGAACTCTAAACTGCAAACCCATACGCCTATACCCTCAACTTTGTCCTACAGTAATAGGCCAGGAGCATATGTTCAAGCCTTGTCTTTACGGGGTTTTCAAAAACCGAAGTCCCCTCAGAGACCACACAGGGAGATGTAGGGAGTAAAGGGAAAATCATAGGGTTGAACTACATGCGTATTTTGAAAAACTCCCAGGTGATCCCGACCAGAAACCTTCCCGTAGCCTCCACCGAACTCCAAGGTGTCTGCCTAGTTTGAGAGAATACATGTCCATAAGCGGCTCTGAGCCCGAAAGTTGAGCTCCTGCTGTAGCTATGTGCATAGACCCCTGCATCCACAAAGGGACCCCTAACTTGGACTCAGCACACAGAGCTCAATATCTGTCGCGCCACGGCATGTTGCAGGGCCTGCAGGTAGGCAAACCTGAGCGCTGCATATTCCACTCCCCTCATCCTGACCCTCCCCCTTGCAAATAAGTACATGTTCCCAATATACTTCCCTTTTCCAATGAGAGGAAAATTCATCATTGCGTGGGTGGTGTGGTTATTGGACAGGAACGATTGCAGAGGGCTTCGGCTTGAGGCCCATGTGTGGCACAGTCTACCAACTAAAATGGAACTAGAAAAAGGATCCTACAAATACCACGGTCCGGCAAAAATTAGCTTTGGGAGGGCACTGCGGTTTCATCGGCTCTGGAGACCCTCTTAAGGTTCCTCCAGGTTAACCCCCAGAATGAGGATGAGGATGAACACCGTGGTAGCGACCTTGTTGCAAACGCTAAACCCTCAACGCTGTGGAGTCCTTGGTATTCTGGATTGTGTTTCGAAAGCTAGCAAACGGCTTCTGCACCCTTTGCGAAACGGGATTTGTTGGGAACCCTTGAGGACATTACAGTTGCATGACTGTCACAGTAGGTGCTTGTGGTGGGGCTAGGCTTACCCAATAACTAGTTTCCCTATTATGGCGGACGAATTGAAGTAGAGCTGTTTTCCCTCCTGCAGAAAAGAGCTCGAAAGCAACCTGGGCTCCAACAGATTCCTACGCCCGGTTGTCATAAACCAGGAATGGAGCTTCAGTTCAGTCAGGACCTTCTTTATGCGTTTTGAACTCTCAAAACCATGACAAAAGGGCGCAGGGATCCTCTCAAAATTATGGTTGGTACTTATTGAGAAAGTCGCATGGAGATCTGTCAGGACGATTTTCCAAGAATGTGGGCTGGGGGTGTGCAGGCAGCCAACATGGTGTAAGGTTTAGGGTCTAGGGTTTAGGGTTTAGGGGGGTCTAGTAGGGTTTCCCTCAACAGGTTTGGCTGCGAGGGAATGGGATGGAGTCTAATTTGCTCCAGCAACGCATGAATCGCATCGGGCTCAAGAACACCCTGCTCGTTCCACTCATTCCTGAGCAGGGAGTCGAAGCCCTTCCACACTCCCCGACGCTTTTTCCCAGATATAGTACTTTTGCGCCAGTCCTCTTGTGATAACCTCTGCAACATCACTTAAACCTACATCCTAAAACGAATCACCACAGAAGCACTCTTTGCGCAGGTCCGGGTTCAGGGTTTCAAGGCCTAAGGTTTGGGATTTCGGGCTTAGCTTGTAAGTAAAGCTCTGAAGTCTTGGAAGCAAGGATTTACAGCCTAGCTAGCATGGGGGCTTCCAACAACCTTGGAGCGCCTCTATCATGAGGCCTACAAAATTTCCGAGTGTATCAAGGGTCCTTGCCCTAGTCCTCCGAAAAGCAGACCTGTCCCCGATAAGGGCAGCTGAAAAGTCTAGCTCTGCAACGAACAGATCAAACTTAAGGATCCCAAGTCAACTTCCTAGTAGATTACAGCAAAAGCAAGAGAGTTGGGACCTGGCGATTGTCCCTTTGGGGTAGAGGGCTACTAATTTGGGGGCCACTACAAACCTGATGCTTTCGGTTCTTAGGATGACATAAGACAGAACAACATCTAAAGTAGACTTCCCAAAAGACATCAGGAATGTGTAGAAATCATTTGACGGGGGCTTTATGGTGACATCTTATGAGTGTAACTATACCAGGGACTGTAGACACTGTTATGGAACAACACTGTCATCTAGACCGGCGAATATGGGTGGTAAGAAACATCCGGCTAAGTTCATATCAAGCCTGAAGATCTTAGACCAGACCGTGAACCCAGACGAAAGCCAAGTGTCCAGGCAGCGATGAAGTAGAGGTTCTCATTAATGCGGCGGGAGGGGTGGTGGCTCATGTTGCCTCAGATCCCGCTTTCTTGCAGACGTCTCCATAAAGTGACTTCTGGCAATTTGCAGTTCAGGATTGGATTTTTTGCGCAACTGGCGGGCTGAAATTTCCCTTCCTAAAGGTCTTGAATGAGGGAGAGGGATAAGGTTCAGTGTTTTGGTTGGATGCCCGTGGGTCTGGGTTTGCTCCTGGACCCTGGCTCGAAGTTCTGATTTTTCCCAAGTCTGAAGGATTTCATTCATGTTTGCAGCGATGAGCTCTATATTGTTGCTGCTGTCGTAAGCATTTCCTGACTATCCTCACAGAGTTGCAGGGGCTGACAGATTCCAGCTACTACCCTACTCAACCCGAGGCCTTGAACCCTACACTTCCAACCCTCCGATCTCGAGCTTCCAAATTGGACGTCCAAGTGGCTGAAAGACTGCTGCAGGGCCACCTTCAAGATTCGGGGTTGCATTTTACAAGGCATGGGTTCTGGGTTTAGGGGTTCGAGCCTTGGGCGTTTGGTTTTTCAGTGCAAGGGGTTTAGGCTTTGGGGCGGGATTCTGCATTGGGGCAGGGTCCAGCTTAGGGTTGTGTGTGTAGGGCTTCGGATGAAAGATTAGGGGTGTAGTGTAGGCTTGTTTGGAAAGTTGAGGCTTTGGGTCTGGTTCTTTCTTAATTAGTGAAAGGGATATGTCCCATATACCGAGCAGGAAGACAGGAAGTGCAAGCTACAATTCATGCAGCTCACGAGAACGAATGCTATCATGATCATGAAGCTGTTTGCTCTACGATTTCAGGTTTGGCCGTGAGTTTAGGGTTCATGGGCAGCAGAGGCTTGTCGATCAAAATCGAATGGAATAATTATGCTGTTGTCAGAGAGAAGTGGTTCAAGGGTGGAGGCAATCTAGACATGTCCTAGGTACACCTCAAGGCTCCCTTACATTCTCTAGATATCTCCCACTTCATCAACGTCCGTCTCATCAAGACGTTTCAATGTAATCTGCCCCCCCCCCAGTATCTGGACTGCAAACCCTGCTCCCTCAACCGCAAACCAGCGTGCCTAGACAACACCCAGTTAAGGGTCTGGGGTTCACCCTAAGCCCCATTCCCGAGGTAGCGGGCAAAGGCCGCGTGCAACATTATTAGAGGACCTCAAGACCCAGTCATAATCCCAATTGGCTCCTATATGAAGCCCATGCGCGCTTCATTTTCCATGTTCTTTTCCGTTTGGGTCTCCCCCGAATTAAACCCTACACAATCCCTATCTATATAACCCCTCTATAACCATGCATCGAACCATGGATCCGTTATTCGCATTATCTTGTCCACCTTGAACTCCTCTGGGGTTGCACGGTAGCGTTGGCTGCATCCTGGGCAAGCAAGACAATAGCGGAGGCTATGGTGACCAGTTTGCTTGGGTCCTCCACCTGGTTGGAGCTTCAGTGCCTTCCCCCGTATGGTGAGTAGTGATATAGGAAAAGAGAGGTTCTTGTCTCTTGTCCCAAGTGAATGATGAAGGATTGCGTGCTTGTAAAAATGCCTACGTGATCCCCCTGACAACCTCAAGAACCCAGAATTACCTGAAGCTCGAAGCAGATGGTCAATTCCTACTTTCAACACGTTTATGGAGTTTTACGGAACTATTGGTACGCATATACAAGCATACCATACAAATTGACATGCATATGTACATACAAGCACACGTCCTTCTATGCCCCCTACAGAAGGCCCCCTTACACAAAGTTAAAGGCCAGAAGCCGCGCACTCTGTTGTCAAAGCCGGTCGTGGCACCCCAGTACCTGGAGCTCCAAGCTTGTCAGTTAGGTAGGGTGTAATGTTCAGGGGTGTAGGTTTAAAGGTCAGGGGCTCTCAGGGTTGTGGTATGGGAATTTACTTTTTAGGGTTTTGCTAGAATCTGGTCCATGGGTGTTAGGGCTATGGCTTCGGTAATCACATATGACTAAGGCGGCTTACGCTACGGCCGATTACAATATGATGCTCGCGCCTACCACTTCATCAGCCGGTTTCAAGAAAGGGTCGGGTCCTGACAATAAGGACCCTCAGAACTTGACCCGCAAGTGCAGAATTGTCCATATGTCCAGTGCTCATGGAGGGAGCTCCGCCGAGACCCGGAGCTCAGGGTTTGGAGTCTCGGAGGTTCACGGCCAGTTGTAATAAGCTTGTTTGGGGCACACCCCTTCTCCAAGCTGGCAAGGAAATCCATGTCAGACCCTTTTTCATCCTTTTCGGGCTACCATGTTACTTTGGGGGATGGTGAACCCTCCCGGTGGGCGATTTGTCTTGGCATGGGGACGAGCGCTCACCTCACTCAACCATGAATAGTCAACCTGGCCTCTCTGAAAGCGTATAGAGTTTTGAAACTACACATAGCAATCTGCTTTGGGTTTGGGTAGAGACGGACGGATTACCTGGGATGTATGGCACAAAGCCCTCTGTGTAATCCATGTCACTCTTGTACCAACCCATAGCAGCATCACTCAAGGTTCATTCCTCAAGCACCAAACCTTAGATGCCTGAAGCCGTAAGCACAAGTTGACCCCACACACTGGCAAAATGGCCCTGCACAATCCCGACAGAGTGTGAGAGGTCCACTTGAAAGGCCAAACACCTCCTCCGATGTTCTCTGTATCGTAAGCAGCCTATCTCTTCTCTTTAGGGCTCCGGGTTTGCCATGTATGGCTTCACGGGACAATACTGCCTGTTTACTTGAAGAAACACCATTGAAATGCCAGGTTGCTGTGGCCAAGTGGTCACGAAGTCCTGGCTGGTCATCAGCTATTTGACTGACTGCTGGCAATTCTACATAATGCCAGTGATGCAATTGAAATTGGTAAAGTCATTCGCGTCAACAGCATTGCTACTACTTGCAAAATTGTCTATCGTACTCAGTCGAACACTGCCAGTCTTGTCCTAATCCTGACCCTGATACTAGCCTAAATCCGAAGTCTCTCAATTCCAATTACCGCAGTATACCGCCCTCAGCCCGTGGCTCGCCCTCGCCGAACACAACAGGAATCCCGCATGTCGCATGGGACAACAAGAGTCTTTTTTAGCCCCTTTGTTGTCGTCAGCATCACCTCAGCAAGCCACAATCATGAACTCTGTTGCCTCGGATTTCTTGTACATTGTACATTGTAGACCCATATTACCGTAAAATCTGAACCTGAATCCTACAAATGGAAACCCCGTCATCCCAAACTGTGTTCCTTCATTCATCACAGACTCTCTCATGCTCAGTAGGAGATGACGGAATAGACTACGGAGATTGGGGACTTCTCAAAGGACCAAAGGCCCGCGTCCATGCTTCAACCCTATGCCATGGAACCATAAAAACAGATATCATAACTGGGTAGCCATACAGCCTTCACACCACAAAAAGTAGCTCATGAAATCTGTGAGAGAGCCAAAACAAACTGATCCCTACATGCGAAAGCCCCAAACCACTAAAGAAACGAAAAACAACTCAAACCTCGAAAAGCTCCAAAGCTCTCCCAGGCACCTTATCTTCACCCGAGGCAGGTCGGCCACAGCGCTCGCACACCTGTGTAATGTGGGAGATTCCTCAAAAAAGGAAGGGGCTCAGGGCTTCGGGATTTGAAGTAAAGGGCTCGGGTTCAGGGACTGGCCATCAAGTTTTCAGGTAGTTGGTTATGACTTAGCCTGAAGTCAAGCAAAAGCGAGGGGTACCCAAGGTCCATACAACGGGTGTGTATGGGGAGGGGATGGTACTGAAGCTACAACATCTTGAGGCGTTCTGGACTAAGGCTACTGTTTCAAGTCTGAACCTCAGCACAGGCAGACAAAGCCCTGACCAACTCGAAGTCCATGAGCTCAGGTCACGGCTGCAACTACGCCACCTCCTCCTGCCCTACTACTACCACCTACCGCTTCTACTTGTTCTGCTACTACTACTTCTGTAGTACCGCTTCTTCTACTTCTACTTATGTTTTTCTACTACTAAGTTTCTGCAACTACTTTTATTTCTCACCACCACCACCACCACCACCACCACCACCTCCACCACCACCACCACCTCCACCTCCACCTCCACCTCCACCTCCACCACCACCACCACTACCACCACCACCACCACAGCAACCTGCTGCTACTACCTTCTTCTTTGAGCTAGGTCGCAGCCATGAAGTGGAAGCTGGCATCGAAGAGCGCGGGCATGAACGTCGGGCCGCCAGCCCTGGGCGTCGGGTTTTATAGGTTCAGGGTGAAGGGCTTCTTAGGGATCTAAGGGTTTAGGGAAGGATAGGAACACCTCGCGAAGATTTAGGGCTCTTTTGGGGTGTATGGGAGACTACGGCCGAAAGAGATTGCGTTGCAAAAACTGAGGGTCCCTTTTTAGAACCCCCCAAAAGCCTTACATCGCGCGCCATCTGGGACATTCTGCCTAGTCCTCGCAATCCCCCCTTGACTCCCCATGAAGCAGCGTAAATCATCACAAAGCCCTTTGTGATCCTGAGGCGTTGACCCACTAACCGTACGCAGGAAGTAGATTCCGTTGAAGCCATTCTGCTTGGCGAGCCTGGGAAATGGATCAGAGGACATACTGGCGAGTTTCACGGCACCAAGGCCTAACCGAGGGTTGTCTTCCAGAGTGAAGTTTATGTGTTTGGGGGTGCAGCGCTTGGACATTTGGGCTTTGCGGGGTCTCGCGCGTGTTGAGTAGGGGCTCAGGAGGTACGTGGGGCTCAGGAGGTACGTGGGCGTTTGTCCTAGTCGGGCGCGCCTTTCAAGTGGATCCAAACATTTCGACACATACAACTGGACTCTTCCACCGTTCTAAGATTGCTGGCCTGAGCCAATAACAACAATTGCCTAATGCTTGGAAGTGATCATAAGAAACATTTCTTACTGCAGTTGTAACCGTCGCACTTAAACTTCACTACTGGCAGTGGCGATGTCGAAGAATCTCTCGATCATCGTACAAAACCCTTAACTCATGGCTCTCAAGGCTTGACATGGATTGCATGGGAACTGTTTCAGTGGCGCGCGAATACTGTTGTCCTTGTTCAGGCCACTTAGAAAAGGGGCCAAATTCAAAGAAAATTTGAACTTGTGCTTGTGGGCTGAGGAGCATACAGTCAAAGATTAAGTGGGTTCAGAGGTTCCTTGACAAAACAGGAAACATGAAAGCGCTTGTGAGTCCGTCAGGTGTAATGAGAAGCCTCAGCTGATGCTACAGGGTGCGGAAGCGAGAAGACATTCTGGAAATTGCACCCGTGTAAACACATTATATAGCACGCTATACATCAAATTTAAATCCCCCTGTTTACATCCCCTGTCTTGTGCTACTAGGGCAGGTCTATAATGTAACTCATCCATACAGAACCCACCAATTACAGATCCAAGGTGATGGCTGATGCCAGTTGTTCATCATTGGCGCCAGCTTGTCGCCGATCTCCTACGGTCAATTGCTACGCCCGCAGGGACTGGCCATTGGAGTCGAGCTTTCAGAGCTTCAGTTTTTGCTCTGCAGGTAATGTCCAAGGATACGTAAAGATTCCATTTTTTGACAATGATGCATTGTTCGTATCAAGACTCTTGTGAAGCTGTGAGCAAGATTAGTATGACAATCTCTCACACAACCTCTCCCAAATCAACTTCAAAATGGAGGGTAGTCTCTGTAGAGCCCCCTGGTTTTGGAACGACACATCGCGGTGTCCCGCGAAGAGAGGCTGCTGGGATTCGGAGGTGATTCTGTAGGGACCTAGATTAAACAGGGGAATTCGAAGAGGTTGCCCATACTCCCTCATCACTCCAGCCCCATAACCGTGACGGGAAACCCCACCCTCATCTGTTTGTCACTTCCACCCGAATCCGTTGACAATACCTTTGACAGCTTATACCCTGCAAACCCTCGCGCTCCTGAGGGAAATAAATCGCAAAGATGGGCTTGTTGTCGACCTTCTTGTACATGCCTGATTTTGCGATTTGCATGAAAAGGTGCATATGGGGATGACGCCAATGTAGCGTTCTCCCGTAAATCTTTTCCCGCCTACATGAACCGTAGACCCTAGACGAAGCCCCAACCCAACACTTAAAAACCCATAACACTTAAGCCTTAAGCCACAACTGAAGTTCCCCAACCCAAGCCCGACTTACCAAAACAAACAACTCTCATCTGTCTAGAGTTGAGGATTCATGGTTTACCGTTCGGTGTCTAGAGTGCAAGGCCGAAACCCCCGACAGTACCCGTTGTCCTGAAACCTGTTCAAAGAATAAGGTGCTCGATGGGTTAAGCTCTCTTTTGAAAGAGAGCTTAATCCCAAACCCTGAGAACATTGAAACCGTTGACCGCCGTTATAGGAGCCTGGTCCCTACGATATCACCAAGCTCCAGCCCCATTGCACAAGACTGTCAGGACTTACCAGCTGACAGCAGGCAACTCTAAGAACTTCGCATAAGCCCCACGTCTAGATTCGCCCGAAATTTCCCGGACCCTGAAACCTAAACCCTAGACCCTGTGTTGTTCAAGCTGCGAAGCAAGCGCCAAACACTGGGCTCTGCCTCAAACTTTGAACCTGCAGCCTTCAGCCATACAGTTGCTCTTCCAAAATAATCGACACCTACCCTAAAGACCCCAGATCCCACCTAAAACCACAAACTCCAAATGCTCAATGCTCATCCCTCACACCCGCCCCAAACCGCGATGCCTTGGCTCTAAACTCTCCAGTAGAAGCCACACAGTTGAAACAACCGTGTGCTACTACTTCAGGACCTAACAAGAAGACGAAGCGACATACAACTCACGATGAAGCTATAGATACGGGTCCTCCCCGGCGGAGAAAGAAATGGGTGGGAAAAAACCTTCTGCGCATACGCCGCGCTGAGAACGGCTCACCCAACTCAATTAATTGGCGGTGCTTGCCTTTACCTTTACACCAACGCCCAAACCTAAAACCTGAAACCCCATAGCCTACACCTGAAGCCCCCTTTCGAAGGAGAGTGTAGTCTTGATAGGGGCCTTTTGAGGTTGTCATGGCAGAAGGTAATCCCTGATGCTGAGACACGGTGTTGGAAGTAAGGCAGGAGGTACTCGAAGTGCTCCTTCCAGCCGGTCTCGTTGCCTCAGCGCTGGGTTTTTGGTTTAGCATTCAGGGTTTCGGGCTTGGGGATTGGGGCTTGTACCTCAGGGATTCCGGGTTGAAAATTGTGGGGCTAGGTGGGAAATCGCTTCCCCGCAGTACTAAACCCCGTATAATTAATAATCCTCCCAGAGAATACCCACATATCCCAGAAACCCCCTGAAGACTACTTTTCAAAGGGCCAAGACTACTATTAAAAAGGAGTTGGCAATGCCGAACTAAGGGGGGGGGGGGTTCTGAGAATATTGACGGGTCTGTGCTAAGGAATCAACAGAAATGAGAGCCCCTGATTCCTGGGGTGATCATTGTTTTATATGCTTTTCAGGGATGTCGTATAAACGAATCTGCTGCAAATCCGCTTGGAAGTGGGCAGCTCCTTGACTTCACAGGCCTTTTATTGCTTGCATATGATTCTTAGTGAAGGGCACCATGTTAAGAATCTACTGCAACTCCTCTTGGATTTGGGGACCTCCCTCGTTTGCCAGGGGGCTTTCAAGCTTTTGCTTCATTGTTAGGTTCAAGAGGTTCTCATTCTCGGGCTAATCAATGAGAGTGCATGTTCGTATCGATTACTCATTTAGTTAGATGTTAACTGACTAACTAATCGATTCCATTAACACTAGGCTTTAATAATTCAGAATTTGATTTCAAGTATGCTTCAGATTTTTCATTAGATCGCAATTGATTTTAATCAGGTCTCAATGAGACTGCGATCCGACTTGCACTGACTTTGATTTTCGCTTCAATTCTTTTTGCTTAGTCTAAGTATGTTGGTACCGATTTAAGTGTTTAATTCCAATTGATTCGAATTACCCCCTATAATTCTTTGCAACAACACCCTCCTGATGATAAATACTCCGGGGGGGTTAAAATAAGGGGAGGAGACGGTCAGTATTACGGGGAAGGGATTAATTCGGTTTGTGTTTTGGGGCTCGGAGCAGTTTACGGTCGCCTGGTCATCGCAAACGCAGAGGGACCTTACCATGCCCTCGCATCAATATCAAAATTACTGTGCTTTCTGCCATGCGAACCTGCTTACACCCAAATACATTCCACATGCCTCCTTTGGGTAATTTGTTTACTACAAAAGGACCCGGCCCAGTAATCCCTGAGCCTTGATCCCTGAGTCTTGCGTCCTCAGCTCAAAACCTTAAATCTAAGACTCTGAATCCCAAGCCCTAGGCGCTAAATCCTGCACCCTACCTCCTAAACAAGGAACTATAAAGCTTAAACCAGGAGCCGCAAAACCCTAAAACCAAAACCTTAAACACCTAGACATTTTCAGCTCGCTCGGGGCGACCACCAGGCACTGTGCTGCTGTGCTTTGGAAGCCAATCAGAATAGGGTGCTGCGGCAAGGAGTTACAGTGTAGGGGAAGAGAGGAGGCAGAACGTACCAGAATTATGGGTGGCATACGTAAGTGCTAGTGTCCTTGAAACAGGAAATCTAAAAGCATGGCTATCAAAATTGAAGCCCAAGTTGGGAACGAAAAATCATGTAAAAAAAAGAGAAAGAAAAACATGTTGAGAACCATCACCCAGACCGTGATAGGAATGATGCCATGGCTGCCAGTATTGACTGGAAGGCCAGGAACAACAAAGCCCTTGAACCCCTAGACCGTAAGTATGCCAAAGCCGTACAGCCCCAAACCCCCCACACACCCCTGAACTCGCAAGCATCCCGGGCGCTGTAGTCCTGGTCAATGAGAACCTCCCCAGTGGCATGCTCGCCATATCCACGCTCCCAGCGCCTTCCGAAAGAGCAGGTTCTTTGTTCAAGGCTTGGGGTCGAGGTAGTTTTGTTACGCACTGTGTCTATAGCGGTAGCTATAGCCTATAAACAGCATTACATGGATATAGCTTGGGGTTTGCCTAACTAGTTTGGGGTTGAGGCTTCAGGGCTTGGGGGCTTATGTTTAGGGTTTAGGGCGCCGTTCAGGAGGTTTGAGGATATAGCGCATGGACGTCTTAATGTAGCGTTACAGCTTGAAAGTACAGACTTCGAGGTTCATGGCTGTTGGGAGATGAAAACTCAAACCGCGAATTGCCAGGGTATCCAGGGAAGGGTATGTTACGAACTTGCTTTGATTGCAAGCGTGGCTGAAAGATCCTCACAAACAAGGCACAAGGCAACAAAGGTATGCAGCAAATAGGCCCCAATGTTCAGAAAAGTCAAGCCCTCATGAATATCCCCTTTTGGGGCTCAGCAACATCTTTACGAGTTCATGCATCTCACGCGTCCGCACAGAAAGTCCGCAATACCTTCATGTTGATCTCGTAGAGCCTCAAAGAGCCTGAGCCCCCCCAACAAAAAACGAAACAAAAAAAAAACGGCTGACGAAATTCCGTAAATTCAACAAGAACAAATTAACGTCTAAGCTTTACCGGTTTCCTGTCCTGATGGAGATTAGGCTGTCTCAGGTTTAGGCCTGGATTTTTATGGGTTTTCTAAGCGTGGGCTTTAGATTTCACAAAATCCTGGGTTCAGGTCGGTCTCCGCCTGTTGGCCCACGAGAAGAAGAAAGGCATATCCGGCTGTCCGTCTTGCAGCATCATGTGCGGGATCTTCCACATTACCTGATTTCGGGTTTGGGCTTGGGGCTTAGGATCACTGACATTCGGCACACCAAGTGTAGTTGCAATCAGATGTTTGAAGAATATTGGCTTGCGGTTAAGGTTCAGGTTTGTCGTTCCCGTAGTGCGCTCGTCCAGGTGTTTCAAGTTTCACAACAACCATAGCCCCGAGTGCATAACTTGAACGCGGCTGACTCCCCAAGGTGCACATGAGCAAAGTCCTCCCTAAGGTAGAATACAAAGTATGAAGGTCAACCCGGCACCCTGAACCCTGACCCACAACACCCCATGTCCTATCCTATCTCTAAAAAACTAATCTGGCTGGTGAGCAACCTGGCCCAAAAATGCTAACTCAGGACGGTCTGTACCAACATGTTATATTGTTACAAGCTCAGCTACCACGTCAAACTCCTGAAGCCCTCAACTCTGCAGGATTTCAGATCTTTATGCCCAAGCGTCGCTGGCGTTCTTCACACCCTGGCCGCTGAACCAGTAGTGGTAGAACCTGAAGAAACCAATTTAAGGATATCTGTTTGCAAGTTTGTTGGCAGCTAAAACTGAGGTTACAAGTCGAATGACTACAGTTAGGTTCTTAGAACTTTCTGCCGTTAATGCCCTGCATATGAATACCCATAACCTCCAAAAATGGTTGTCGGAGTAGGCTTTCAATACGATCATCATTAAGATCTCTGGGGTGGATGTTGAGGGATTCAGCATCTAGAGCAAGAAGGTCTACTGCCTTGGTTGACACTGCTATTCAACGCAAGTCACGGATGATAGACCCTGATCTATCGGTGTATCGAAGACATACAAGACCTTATCCAGCCAGTGTGAGGGTTCAGTGTTTACGGCCTAACGTGAGGAGATGTCAGGCTCTGAAAAGATCGGCGCACGTCAGTAATAGCTGATGAGGAACACAAAGAATTGTTCACTGAAGATCTCATTCTCCCTATGTTGACGACACAAAGCAGTATTCGAACGCAGAAGAGTGGCTACAAGGGGCCCCTGGCTATTACTTGAGAATCGTCCTGCTTGGAATTGAAATTCTGAACCCGATGCAGCCGCGAATTCAAAATCGACTACCAATCTAAACATAACACCTTGAAACCACTGCAAAGTAGTCGCCAAAACCCCAACCCCAAAGCAAAACCTTCACAATAGCAAGTATACCTTTGGGGTGACACGGTACTCATTGGATCGCAAGAAATGCTTTGGAAGCACGCAGCTCCCGAACCTAACAGGCACAAGTATACCCAGAAAGCCTTACAGCCCCATTCTGAAGCTAATAGCAATTTGTTATAGCAATAATAGCAATTCACGATCCTTATCACGATAACAGGGAACAATAATCGTGACAATAGTTTTAAGAGGGCGCACTTCCAACTGGCCCCAGAGGCACACTGTTCAGAAACCCTCGACCAAACTTTAAACCAAAACGTGGGCCCGAGTCAAAACGCAAACTCCCAAAACTACTCTTAACCCCAAACCTTCTCTAAACCCTGAAACCTCTAAAACCCCAACCTCTGACCCCAACCAAACCCTCCTCGAAAAAACTCGCACCTACCTCATCCACCAAAACCTGACAACACCGGGACCCCGCGCATAAAGCCGTGCACTCCGTACTGGCGAGCCATCTCGGCCTGGCCCAGGCTCCAGAACAGATTTAGGGGTAGTATTACACCCAATAATGAAGAATCAACTGGAACAGAAAATGGAAAACAGAATGGAAGTCATAATTTAGGGGTTAGGATTCAGGGATTTTACCCCTAAGAATGGAGAATCAAATGGAAAGGAGAAGGATTAGGGTTTCCCAAAATTAGGGGTCCCCTTTTGGGGTACCTATGGATTATATTACATTGGTGTCTATTTTGGGCTCTCCTTGTTGGAAACTACCATGTAGGGCTTGGGCTTAGGGTTTGGGGTTTGGAATTTAGGGCCCAGGGTGGATTAGGGGGGTTGGGATCTCTTCAAAAGTTTGCCTATGGCCGATAGGGGCTATGTAGGGATACATGGAAAGTTTAGGATTGTTAGAATTGTGGAGTGTACGAGGAACCCGAAAAACAGGGTCTGGGCTTTAGGATGGTAGCCTTGGAATTTGGGGTTGAAAATATGGGTGGGTTAACATCTAGAGCATTTTACTCTAACCCCACGTAAAGAGCTGGGGCTAAAAAATACCAGCTTAAACCCTAAATCCTAGGATTAAGGACCTGGAACAAAAGGTTCAGGGTGAAGGGCGCAAGTTTCAGGATGTGGCGTTTAGAACGAGGATTCAAAAGCGAACTTCGGCAGATTGGGAAACATCTGATTCTCTCCGGGGCCTACGGGCACACCGAAATTAAAGCTAAAGGCTTGGAGGACAATTTGGCGTTTGTGCGCTACACATTGGAACTGCGTAATGAGCGGCCCCAAGCCGAGCTCTTGTTGAGGTACCAATATGGGGTTAAAACGATGCTTTCTTTGGTTCAGGGTTCAAAGTTTAGGGTTTAAGGGCTTGACAGCTCGATGAAAATGGGCCTCTGCGGTGTGCGAAGGATATCGATGGTAACTCCTCGAAGAATATTCCCAAGCCAAGGCCGAATACTGGGAGCTCTTCAGGGGGTAAGCTCCTGATCACTAAGCATGCTAAGCCTTTGTAAAAACGGTTGTGACATAGCCTCGGAACTCAAACCCTTAAGCTCTAAACCCTCAAACTTTAAGCCATTGAATCCTAGAACTTCCAACCCCCAAACCCTAAGCTAAAATACCTGACCCCCAAACCCTTGAACCCAAACCGTTCCGCAAATTCCTAAACCCTAAAACCTCTAGGCCTGAACCCTTTCCCTAAACTGAAAGCTTCTGCCTGGCGCTGGCGGACCTTCCTGTCAGTGAGGTCCTGAGACAGGGAGGGCTTCGAAAAATGATGTGTCCCAGAAGGTGAAGAAGTTTAGATTTGGATTTCCGGGCTTCGGGCTCTCGGTCCAAGGGATGTCAAAACAAGCACTCAAGTTTTTCTTGAACTGGATTGTTGCAGTTCTAAGGATTCCCCCTAAGTTTCTCACCAAGCACGGCACCGTAACAAAGTCGCTGTGAAGTAAAGGGAACCCTACTGCAGATGCGTGCCGCACACTGCGAACCCTGATCCTTACAGCCAGAAACCTGAAAAACTGGCTCCTGCACCATACAGACTAAACCCTGAGCCCTGAACCCTATCTCCGTATCCTCAAAGCCCTCAATCACTGACACGTCTCTTTCAGAGATTATGGAGATCCCCACGAAGGCTTCTATCAAATGCAAAGAGCTTGGTACACTCGCTCTTGCAGCCCAGAAGCATAGTAGTCCAAGCCACCCATCTCTGCCGGAAGCGGCTTTCGGAGCGGAGTTTCGTTGGCTGCACAGCAGGGGACTTTGGGGGTAGCGGGGGGCAGATTTAAGCATTTGGAGTTCAGAGTTCAATGCCGTTTTGGGGTTTGGGGTCAGCCGACTTCAGTACAAGGTCTTGGAAATAAGGTACTGAAGATACGTTTTCAGAAGCAGCCGCAGACAATGACACGATAGCCGGCAGAGACACCCAGAATCCTTTTGTAAACCTACCCCTGTTTTGAGAAAACACCGATTTCTCAAGATGGAGGGTTCTTGGGACGCTCATATATGAACGGATTCCGCGGTCCTCGATCAGGATGTTACAGGGTTTGGAGAGAATTCAACAAATCTGACCTCTCAAACGTGAAGGTGAGTCGTTAAGAAGCTTCCCGTCATGCAGCAACCGCTTCCAACAAGCCCTACAAGCATAAACCCTACCTTCATCCACGAAGGGCTTCAAGTGGGTCCACTCCGTGAAGCCCTCGCCGTGGAATTCATCGTTCCTGAGGAGGGGTTTGTGGTCCAACTGACCTTTCAAAAAGGATCACATGGGGGCCCCATTTTCATCCTACACTTTCAGGCGAAGTTTTGACACAGGCAGGATTTCTAGCAGTGATTCCTGAACCCTTAATCAAGCGGAAAACGCACAATCCCACAGCACTCCAACCCCAACTTAAAGCTGCCGACGCCCTAACCTGAAAGCTGCAAAGATGCAAAGTTTGCACGCAGCACTGTCAGGGTTTCAACCACTACTCGTATACCGAGGATGCTTGTGATTTACGTATACGGGTTTGCGTTTCAGGTTTAGCCAGGGCCGAAAGCCGCAGTTGCTGAACTGGCTAACAAAACTATTCAAAAACCAAAAACCCGCAAGAAAACAGAACCACCAAAACTGAAACCCGCAAAGCCATTAAGGTTCTTCATATAGTTCCGTTTATGGTTACTAATCTCATAATCATTCCCGTCATGCCAGGCAGAAATTTAAGCAGCTGACTCCGGGAATTGATGGTACTGCGGGAAGTAGATGGCCATCACCTGCGCACAAAAAGCAGCAAATGAGCGGGAGCCTATGTAACGACTTGGGGCTGCGGGCTCTCCAGGGGCTAGGTACTGCAGACAGTTGCGGAACTACTATATTCATTTTCAGATACTAAGTGTCCTATGTGGCGCAAATTCTCAACTCTATCATAGGCTTGGCCGTCACAGTTCAGGCATGAGCGCCCTGAGCGCGCAACCACCAGAAATGCGCCGCAATGACACGAAATTTGTCGAAAACCTACTGTGCTACAATACCGGACCCCGGACTGCCTCGGCAGACTGTTCTGAGTTCCAAACCATCTAGTACTTCATGAGTACATTTGGTACGTTTGGAGGAGGAACTCTTGCACCACAGAAAGACTCCTAATCTACTGTTCTTCCTAAGACTGAAAGCTCGGAGCGGTGGCATGTTGGGAACCAATTCGAAATTCAGGGGCTCAGGGACTGAGGAGTTTATGGTCCCTCTCCCGCTGAGGTCTCTTAAGTACCCTATACTATAATTGTATAAGGAATCTAGGACCAGAATTTTGTGGTTCTTGAAGCACTAAGGTATTCCCATTCCCCACAACCAGGACCAAATTGGACAGTCCCCGCAGAAGACCCTAATTGACATTAAGCTTACACCCTGAATCTTAATCCCTGGATTCCATCACCTTTCTTCCCTAAATCCTTTATCATGTTATTGTAACAATTGTCTTTTCCATTCCACAGCCTTACATCCCTAAGTGCCACATGCAGGCCTGAAACTTTCTGGTCTGTAAGGGGGAGTGGGAGGGTGGACCCCTAAAATAATTCCAGAAAAACCCTCTAAGTTAAAGCGTACCGTCTGTTCCCTACCCCCTGGTACATTGCTTACCAAGTAGGAAAAACCCTCCAGCCTTGGGAGCCATGGGCAATTCCCCCACGTATCCGCCAGCTCCGCGAAGCGCTGAGATGGCAAAGTTGCCCAACTCAGCCTGCTTTTGTAGGGGTTTGTGCGCTAGTAGGGAGAGGGAATGAAGACCACGGAGGTTTTAGTGCAGTGGTTTTGAGGATCCGGGGCTTAGGGAGTAGGAATCGTGGATTAGGGTGCTTAGATGATTAGGGTTCAGGGACCAGCGTGTAGGGATGCGGGTTGAAGGTTTATCTTTCGGCGTTTAGAGATTACGCGGTTGCCGGGCCGGCCTAAAGTTTAGGGCTCAGGGTTTAGGGCATGCGGATCCGAGTTTCCAAGAAGAACCTCTCCGAACTGACCAGGCCATCGTACCACCTGTAAGCAAATACAATAGCAGTACGTTCTCATGTGCCCACATTGGTTGTTGCTTCTCGTTCGCCTGCAACCTCTGACGTTTGTTTTTGTGCGTGTGTTGTCACTCCGTTGTTTGCAGGGTTCAAGACTTGTTTTTGTTGCGTCCATATCTGCTGTAAGAAGAAGTAGCAACGTGAATCACCGAGGCACGTTGTCACAGTACGGTGGATGGACGAAAATCCTGTATCATCCCAAGTCACCATATTTTTGGAACTACAATAGGCTAGGGGGGTCTCAAGAGGTACAAAAGGTTCTCCATCAACAGTCTTCTTGCTACTGTGACCACCAAATTGCATGGAATGCGTGGGGCATCTAGACCTGAAACAAAACTAAACTTTACACGTCATCAACCGAAAAGACCTACAGCCCAACTTTTGATGCTACGCGCCTTTGCCCTCAGACTAACTGAAACGGAAGAAGCGCACTGTCCATGTTCGCAGACCAGCTTTCCATACCAACTGTCCGCGCTCGTCACGCCAGGAAGCACTTGCAGGCAGAGAAGCTAGCGCACCCTGTTCTTCAGAATCTCTCACCCGGGCCGGCGAATAGGATGGCTGAATCTTTCTGCCCGAAGCTGCGCTGTCTGATGGAATTTTCTGGGAACATGATCCTAGGAATTGTTGGGCTTAAGGTTCAGGGTGTGACCTGTGTGTAATCCTTGTAGCCCGTTTTTCTTTCCGTATGAGCGAAATCAACATCAATCACAGAGTTCGTCTCGCATGAGATCTTCTTCCAGAATATACTTGGACCCATGCTACATTACCATGGAGAGTCCTATGTCCACCCTTACAAATCGCTCGGTAGCCCCAGCCAGTTCCACTCCCTGAGTTCTGAGTCCTGAAATGAATCCAGACCAAGAGCCCTACTGTAAACCCTGAGCCCCCAAGTCCTAAGCTCCAAACCGTTAAACCCTACCCTACATCCTGAACCAGAAACCTAACCATCATAATCCTACTCCCTCTAAAGCTCCTAAGCCCAGATCCAAGTTCACAATCACCATATATGGAAATGTTCAAAAAGGAAGGAGCTGCTTATGTACCCTCAGTTATTAGACTCCTCATTGTAGGTACCCAAAAAGGGATTCCCAATTCTTTCCGAGACCCCTAAATCCTAAACCCCATATGTCTCTGCATAGCCGCCGTCTATCCCTTTATATCCTTAAGTAAACCCTTTGAAGGAAGACTTACAAGCCTAAATCCTGCTCTCAGGTTCACCCCATTGTTGTTCAGCCCAGCCAGCCTCGATTCCCTCGACCTTCGGCCAAATCCTGCACCAAGGCTGGGCTAAGGGTTCAGCGTTTAGGCCTTAAGGTTGGGGGATTAGAAGGTAGGTTTAGGATGGTTTCGGGCTTGGGGCTTGGGGCTTGGGGTTCAGGGCTTGGGTTTAAGGCTTAGGGATTGGGGCTCAGGCAGAACACTTTAGGGCTCTGCTTGAAGGAAACGCCTAGGAAACGCTATATTCCAGGAACGCCCCGAATCTCAATCCAACAATCCCATGCAAGCGTCACATAAGCCCACGCAACCTGCCTATGTAAAATGGCTTCAATGGCTTTCCTAAACCTTGAAACTTCAAGCCAAAAACCTTAGCCCAAAAACTTTTGACCGCAAATCCTCAAAAGTAGCATCTTCCTCAGAAAGAAACCCACAGCGGCCTTGCGATCGACTGGGCAAGGCTTGGGAAGGGCGCCGCGGCGAAGCGTGCCCAATACCTGATCGCCAATCTGGTTTAGGGCTAAATAGTAGTTTCCATTTTGTTTTCCATTATCCCTATAAAACCAAACCACAACCCTAATATTACCCCAATACTGTCATGCTACTTCCGTGGAGTGATGCCTGCAATTCTGCACCCAAAGCCCTGACGCCTTAAACCTGGACCATAATTCCTCTAACCCAAATCCTAACCCTATTCCCCTAGCCATTTTCTGTAAATCCTAAACGTGTTTGCAAGAATGACTTAAAATGTCGAAAAGAATGCCTTAGAGCAACAACAAAGGAAACAGTCAAAGTGAGACAGCATCATTCAGGTATAGGTTTCCATCAAAGGCTTCTGATACGCAGACCACCGTCGCACCGTGCACTGTGCAGGGCAATCACAACTAGGCTGAAAAGTCATGCGATTCATGTGATTCTTGTTATCCCACATGCTAAACCCTACACCCCAAAATGTACAGCTGCACATAATTCCCCGCTCCATGCTTTTGCCCCTTTCGCCCTGCGTAGTATAACTCATGTAACCATCTCCAAGGTGTATGGTTTAAGGTTCAAGTCACTGGAAGGTCACTTTCACAAATCCGCCGAGGCCCCTGGTTGTTTGGGGGAGCAATACTCTACCCACCCCCCCTTTGCCCACTCCCAGAGGCTGGCCACAGGCAGGCTCCTCCCCCAACCCGTTGAACTCTCACAGCTGCCCTGTCACGACTTGCTCTGCTTCTGCATGCTGTCTGTCCTCCTCCGCTTCCGACCGCTGCTCGAGCCGGCAGAGGCAGAGCTCGGTAGCGTTAATATGAGCCCAAACCCAAAGACAAAGAGCCAAACGAGTCCCTTCCTCATCTCTGCGTACGATAATCGGAAAAATGAAGATGAGGGGAGTGAGCCGGATGTCTGAAGAGGGGGAGGGGGGATTCCACCTCCGAAGCCCAAGACCTGAAAACACTGCAATTATGGGAACCCTAACCTTGAATCAGGCCCAGTAGCATGTTGCCACCGATGCTTGTGAGCTGATCCTTCAGAAGGAGAGGACGAATCAAACATGCGAATAAAGACAAGGGAAAATGAAAAGGTGTATCGGTAATGCATACGCTGCTGTGATGATCGAAGGCTCATACGTAGAAAATGATGATGAGTACTTAGGTTTCATCATCAGGGCTTTTCTCTGAAGACCGTTTGTATTCTCCAACAGCACATATCAGGATGTAGGGTCTAGGGTTCAGCGTTCTCTTCTTAAAGCGTAGCTTCCACTTCCATGTCCTCAAGTAGGACCCTCGTAAAGAGATACTCAAAACAAGGACCCGAGCAAAGTTCCAGACAAAGCCTAAACTCTGGAAAGCCCAAACCTCAAAGGCTGAACCTCAAACCTAAAGCACTGAACCCGGACCACAAATTTGGGTGTCTGGTAAGGACTGCATGAATGGAACCTTGTAGTAGCCCCCTATCTAATCCCCAAGCATTGTATCTAGAACCTGCTCCTTTATTCCTACTAACCACCAACGAGTACATGAACTCCTAAACTTTTCTTTCATGCAGCGGGGGCAAGAAACTCAACGGCCTCTGAGATGTCAATCTTTGTTCCCATCTCAGTCATGAGCAGCTTCGAGGCCTGGCAAGCAGCCACATAACTTCAGGTTACACAAACAATAACAGTAATAGTAATATGATTATAGTAATAATCATTGTTATTATTATCAACCTTCAAGCCCTTAGCCCCCAACCAGAAAGCCTTGCACCCGGTACACCATGAGCCGCCTGCTTGGTCGAGTACATCGGGGACCCGCCCACTTCCGTACGGCCTCCGAAGAGACGCTCCGCAAGAACCTGCAAAGGCTGCTAGTACACGGTTAAGGTTAGGGTGCAGGGTCATGTAGGGCCTAAGGTCTAGGATCGCAGGATCAAAGATGTGGGGTTCAGGGGCGAGCATTCCGGCTATACCCTTAGCAAAAAACTGTTGCGGGTACGAAGGAAACCATGCGCAAAAGAAATCCAACAGTATGAAAGATCTCCAACATGGATCGATGTAAGGCTTCAGATGTAAGGCTTCAGGTGATTACGAGGGTCTGTGTGAGTATAAGTGAGAGAGAGAGAGCAGCAACGATCACTCTAGATAATGGGATACGGCAATAACAGAAGCAGCAATCTTGCAACCAGAACAACCATACACTCGATAGGTATCTGCCTTAGGTTCTAAGTGTTGGCCATGTGCGCCATTTGGCAACTTTGGCCCCAGTTGTATATGCGCCCCAATCCCCATTCCTAGACCACTGGAAAAGGAACCTTTCATTTAGATAACAAGTGCTTGCGTAGGAGAAACTCAATGAGAGGAGCCCCCCCAGAGGTTCCCTGCAACGCATGATGTTGATCAACTGCTTGCTCAGTCGCTTTGACCATAGAGCTCAGTGGAGCCTCCTGGAAGCTAGGCCCCCTAGAGCGGCCAGAAGCTTGAGAATAGACGTCCAACCCCGGTCGGTTCCCCAGGTTGATTTTGAAGGGACGGGCCGGGACCCCAAAATCAAAACACATTAACGGTTCAGTCCTGTAATTCTTTCAAATTCAGGAGGTGACAGACCACATACAGTTCCGGGAGAACGGAGCCACGGCTTCACAAAACTCTGGGGCATGTGAAGTTTCAGGGCACATCGCAAACCATTCTTGCCGTACCCCAGTACAAGTATCTATCTTCTTGAAACACTCCCTGAAGCATCAGGAAGAAATGCGCAAACACTCCACCCAGACCCCCAATGCTCAACCAAAGGCCCACACCGGTGCCAAGTTGGCGATCTTCGTGCGGCGTGTCATGGTTGTTCCGGCCTTACTGCTTAAGCAGTAAGAGTTGTGTGGAGGTTCACGTGTAAGGTTGAGGGGCCTTAGCACTAAACCGTAAACTCTGGTTTAGGGCTGTTTTTATCGGACCCTCGGCAGGATATGGTTATAAGTAGCATACCCGTGATTATGGACTACCACTACAACAACTACTAGTCCTCCTGTTGCTACTACAAGGTACTGCTGCTCCTACTCTGCTTATGACGCTCTCACAAGTATTGTGCATAACGAATGGTTCTGCTGCTTCATCTTTGCCACTGTTCAAGGATCGGTCTGGAAGATCTTGAAAGGAACACTCCCACTGTTCTCGTTCTTACTATGGTGACTATACTCTCAGTGTCTCATTGCTAATGCGATTAATGATGATATGATTGTTTTGACTCTTCTTAGTCTTATCACTACTAGCAGTTACTAGCATTTTCCAGACTGGTTCGGCTCGGGTGGACGTGGATCGTTACCAGAAAGTGTCGGATGTAGTTTGGGATACAGAAATTGGGACCCAAAATGATTGCTGCTGAAGGGAGAGGGCGTCAGTGAAACATAGGTATAGGTACTTTTTGAAAAGGGCATACACTGGGACGAAGTAGGATTATACAATAATATATCCTGAACCCTAGGCGCTTAGTGGTGCTTGGAGGCTGCCTAGAGATCTTGACTAGGAAGCTTAATCTGCAGCACCAGCTAGGTTTCAGCGACCTTGCGTCAGCTAGCGCCGCTAACAGATGGCCTCAGCCTTCCTTTCAGCGGAGATCCTCTTGGGAAAAAGTATTGTGCTGTACTTGGTCCTGAACACCGCGCATGCCCAAGAGGACGTGAGCAGCTGACAGTGCAAGAGGAGTAGCCAGGGATCGTCTGCGCATCAGTTGCGATTCATGGTCCAAGACGTGGAGCTTGGGGCCAGGACAAACATGTAAAATGTACATCCAGACACCAAACAGAGGAACTCGGAAACCATCCCAAGGAAAGTAATGAGAAAGGACCAAAGGCGCAAACAGTTCATGGCCAAGCATTGGGGAAATGTGCGGTGTCGCTTTTCTCTGAAGGGTGGTGGCCAAACGATGAGAGCAGCGAATCCAGGTCTGAAAAACTAACAAGCCATACAAAGCGATTGCTCAACACAAAGAAGAGTGCTTAAGCTGTTGCCACTGATACTATCAAAACGACTCCATAAAACATCGAACACACCTGGCGCAGCCCCGAGACTATCAAGATGTTCCTAGACTAGGCCTAGTGCTTAAGCTTCAAGCAATGAAGGAAACTACTTGGGTATTTGACAGCACGTGCTTGGCACTAGTACCACGGACAAAGACATCTGAACCTTGGACATGAAACCCTCAGTATCAGAGAGTACCGTTGTAGCGCATGTGGTACGGTCAACATTATTGTCGCAGCAAGGTACCTTGTCATAAGGAACCCTATGTGCACCCACGTGCCTCCCAATCCTCCAAACTCCTAATACCCAAGCCCTGCTCGAGTGGCATGTGGTATAGTCATCTCACCATTGAATTCAGTAGTGCAGTTCCTGTCTTCGTCTACTTAGAAGCAGGCTGGAGCGATCAGGTTGAGCTTGCCGTGCACCCTGGGTCAGCATTAAAGTCGGGAGGGTAGGGCTTGGGGGTTCGGGCTTAAGATTTGTGTTTGGAATTTAGAAATGTTCAGAGTTTGGGGTTGCACGTGGGGAAGGAAGGGCTTCATAACGAAACGTGTGCCCCAAAAAGTATAAACGATCCCGACTATTAGTCCTACAAAGCCCTGTGTAGTCCTAGTTTCTGTGTCAATTTTCCATCTTCTTTTTCATGTGATGGTCCATGTTTATTCTACTTCTCCGGGCCTCTAGACCCTATGTATCCTCCTACACCCGACACCCTCAAACCCCACACCCTATCTTCTACAAAGCTCCTCAACATGATGACATGGGAAACTCAGGAAACATCAAAGAGCCGAGGCTTGTGAAGGCCAGGCCCCTTGGGATCTTGCATCCTACGATTGAGACTTAAAATCCTGAAGGTACCCATTAAAGGGGTCTAGCGTGTAGGGCCTGATAGGCCTCATGCTTTTACAGGTTTGTGTTGAGAGGTACGGATTGATACTGAAAATCCCACAAACTGCCCAATAATGGAAAATCAAGTGGAAAACAAGATGGAAAATGAAGTGGCAACTGGGATAACGGTTAATGCGTTGATACTGGAAATCGGGCATGATTCTAAGTACCATTACCCTGGTAATTCTGGTATTCCTCTCATATTCAGCTCACGCAGGATTGTTAGTATCAGTCGCAGTGATCAATAAATTTCCCCTTCGCAGCAGTACATTTTGAGGGGCCACTCTCAAAGATTCTAGGGGAGCGCTCTCGACATGTTCCCTACCTCAAACCAGACGGCGAAAGACCCAAAATCAAAAATCGAATCGCTTGCACTGACAGACTTAGCTTCACTGAAACGTTGTTCCTGCAAAAAACCACAGCAAATCCCGCATCATGCAATGGCCAGCCCAAACAGGCAGGATTTCTACCTATGGTAACCTGATTCCACAGACATCCCTATGCATCCCTATGCATGGGAGTTTCTGAATGTATGCAATGTAAACTCCTGGACCCCAGTATCGCCCCGTTGTTACCATTCGAGCTCTGTGTCTGACCCCAGGATTCTGCCAAGCGACTCAAAGTTGTGCAGGGCACTTCGAACTTGGAACTTCGTCCCACAGAGTGCCTTTCAAGGGTTTGAGGTTCAGGGGTTGGAAATTCGGGTTTAGGGCTTAGGGCTGAAAGCCTCTAGGATTTACGCTTGAAACTTTACATGCTAGGATTGTATTCCGGGGCACCTACAGAGATATAAATATGAAAGAAAGTGATGGTTAGGTAGTTGGCTTGAGCTTCGGCAGCTCGAAATAGGCTAACGGCCAAGGGCTCAGGCTGAAGCATTTGAGGTTCAGCATCAGCCTTGGGGCCCTTAGGAAGGAAGAGGCCAAACCTCTATGGCCTCGGCCACTAAAGCCTTAGCCCTCAACCGATTACAACCCTTAAGTCTTTTGCGGGGCAGTTTTGAGGAGCTACCAAGTCCCTTGTGGGCCCCAGTATGTAAGTTCTACATCCCAGCCCCTAATCGTATCACCTTGTCAACCCCTCCAAAACAACCCCTTCACATGCTCTTTGTGAGAGGTACAGCCTTTATTTGCTGTCTGGGACTGGTCATTGGAAATTTGGTGAGTATATTATCGTTTTCCCATGTCCGGTGTACATCGTGTCGCTATCGTTTTTGTCGAGTGTGTTATCCTTTTCCAATCAAAAACCCTTCGTCACGAATCCAATGTCCATCCGGTCCATCCTTTACATACCTCCGATGACCGATAAAAAAAACGCGTCTTAAAGCCCTCAACCATGCAGCAACCCTCCTCCAGAGCCAGCTTTCGGAGGTCCGGATGGCTGTCAGTGTGGAGTTTCCTTGGCTCAGTTCGGGTTTATTTTGAGGTTTGGGGCTTTGGGCATGCAGGTTTGGGGTCAAGGGTTTAAGGTTCCAGGTTTAGGGTTTAGAATTTGAGGCTTAGGGTTAAGGATTGTTTGTTCTTTGTGGGGTTTGTGGCGAGTAGGTTGGGGGGTTCAGGGCTTAGGGGCTTTAGGGTTTAGGGGCTGAAGGGTTGAGGGCTTAGGAGAGAGGGGCTTCGGGGCATGGGGTGTAAGGGGAAGATAGGAAAAAAAAAAGTTAAAGTTTTCATTGGCGTAGGGCTGATGATAGGACATGTGCGTTCAGCTTGATTGGGGCTCAACGGACTCTACCTGCAACACCGAAGACGAGGACCATAGCTGCGACCTGCCTAGGGGTGATATGGATGAGCCTTGGCTCTTCAGCTTCTGGGTTGGGAATAAGGCTTCTGGCTTGGGGTTAGTAATTGTCATGAGATGGGACAGGAGCCCAGGGGAGTCGCTTGCTCTCCAAGGTTGTTGCTGCCATATCACCCGTGCACACATCTCAGTTCAAAGAACTCGCGTTAGGGTGTCAAGT